CTGCCTTCAAATTGTATGAACGACTGGGTGTTTAAGGTGAGCGATTTGTCATATTGTCTGGCTGTATAGCTAATGAAAACATACAATTAATTTATTATGCAAGTTAAAATGTATGTGTTTTAATAGTTAAGTTTTTATTTATTTAGGGCATTTTATAACATATGCTACAGGCCCCGCATTAGCTTCATCCGGCACCGACTGTACTCCGCTCCCACATCTACATTTACACCTTCACCAACCCGCACTGAGCAGCGATGTGAGGTACTGGGGTCAAATAGAGTCCACGGCCCCCTCACGTTGTGGAGAGGTCCTCATCCAGTAGTGGAGCTATACACGTGCGCATGTGCCCACAATAAACACAGTGCGTTGTGACAGAAAATAATCAAGTGTGCAGAGAGACACGAAGCGATGCACGGTTGGAATCGCATTCATGGCCAAAGATAATAACGCACGGAGCACAGAACCAGTAGCCAGCAAATTCTCACATATTAGCGACTGTTACGTGGGCGTGGGACGGACATATCGCTAGAAAGCATGATGTATATATGTTAAACTTCTTTCGCACCGTACGTAGCCAACCGTGATAATCGTAGGTGTGGGATAAGGACAAACCAAACACAAAAATAAATTCTGAATTTTTTTTTCAATCGAGATGATGATTTAAACGTGCATAGCTCCAGTGGCTTCCTAATATCGGAAGGAAGAGCGCGATGCGGTGACCGTCTTTGTTGATGGCAATAGCCAAAAGCCGCTGCTGCAAGGATGACCGGAGTTGGCGTGGTGGTTTATGCCTCTTGACGAGATCAGCGAGGCGTTATGGTTCATTCGTGGCAAGCAATGGACGAGGCGAGTGACAGAATGACAGCCAAAGGAGAGGAGTGCGCCCGAGATGACCACCTCCGTGAAGACGGAGAAACTCGATCAGTTCACGTGCAGGAGTGGGACGGACTGTGGTGCCGTACGACCGTGAGGGCTCGTGAGAGTGTGTGGAGGCCTTAATCCAGCAGTGGGTAGACAGTGGCTGATGATAAAGTGGAAAAATACTTTATCGAGATACGGCAGATATCATTGCCAATTAACCGCACTTATGTACCGTATCAGCCTTTGGCAAAACTGTACGGTACTTTAATCTCACAAATCGCAAATCAAGGGCTATACAATTTTATTTATTTAGCGAATCCAAAGTCCCTAAGCCAAGCGGTTGCTTCCGGTCCTGCTGTGTTGAGGGCGAGCATGCCTCCACTAAGTTTGTGGATTGGGCAGACTTCGAGGATGTGGTGCATGGTTCACTCCACCCCGCAGGCACATAGCAGGACTTGAAGCTCTTATGCCCAAAGCAGTGGAGGTTGGCGAGACCTGGGCCATGACTGGTCCTGAACCTGTTGAGGGTGGACCCACTCCGTCCTGGGGAGGTTGAAACCAGGGGGGCTGCTGTTGTGTTGGGGTGATAATGAGTAATCATTTGCCAGGTCCAGTGACTCCCATTCTTGTGTCCAGCTGTATAATATTGCAACCTAACTGTGGTATGTACACCCCAATAAGGGTCTCTAGAATGGACACCCACTTTATGGGAAGTGGGAATTGGTGGTATTAATAGCGAGACTGCTGCCCACCATAGAAATGTGGAATTTCCACTATCAAGCTCAGGACTGCCAGAGATAGGTGCTACCAGATGTTTAATTCTAGCAGAGACACTTTACGATAGTATATTTTTGTTTTAAAGTACGTCCTTTACTTAGCCAGGAAATTCTCACCGAGTCTCAATTCTTGTTTTCAGGAGGAGGGCTCCATTGTAATGGCTGGCCAATTGCATTATTCAGTGTTTAGCATGTGGGAGGAAACTGAAGTACCCGTAGAACATCCACACGTAGAGGCAAAAGACAGACGGAATCAAGCATACATCGCATGAATAGCATCTTCCTGGCCAGGTGTAAAAGCAGCACAAGCCTCCAAGACCTGGTATTCATAGGCAAAAAACAAAGACCCCCCCCCCCCCCCCATAAAGCCTTAGCAGACTGTTGGGAAAGTGCTGTTTTCGCGAGCACCTCTGCAGGCCGGAACAACACACGAGGCGGTGGGTGGCCAGAACCACACCCACCTTTGTCTTGCTAGTGGCGATATTTACACATCGCACCAGGTACTCATTTTAGGCTGAGTCGACCTAGGAGGGGGGTCCCCATAACCGGTTCAAATAATAATCGTCACCGGTGTTTGTCGTGAGCGGGAATCGAACGCGAGTCGCTGGGTTTGTAGCGCAGCGCGCTAACCACTACACTACCGTTCCCCGTATTCATAGGCAGTCGTCCATTCACATACGGTCCTAACAAGACTCAAACCACTGTATTGGGAAATCTGACCGGATCGGATAAAATCAGAGTGATTTTATTCATTCGAAAAAAAAAGAAAATGAACCAAGAAAAATAATCAATAAATAATGAAAGTTTGTTTGTTTAGGTTTCTTGAAGCACCCTTGACTTTAAATGTGCCCCTTGACCGGCCCTTGTTTATAATAACTGTCCTTGGGAAATCAAGTACTGTACTGCAGCTGCTTTGAACTTTGAAATCACATTCCAAACCGATGTGAAAATGTATACATATGCCTTCGCATACGTACAAGGTATACGTCTATTTATCAAGACCTCATTGTGGATACAAAATCAATACAGCGACAGAAAGCACAAAACAGTCATACATTGTGGCAATGCCACAATACGGCCAGGTGGCACTGCTTAAGAGTGCTGGACTCAAGATTGGAAGCTTAAAATGTTAAATCCTGGTCAGGAGGGCAATTAAGTTCACCGTCTCTCTGGGGTCAACAAAATCCTAATAGTTCCAAATTGTGGGACATTAACAGTAGTTACCATCTGGTGACACTGGCCTCTGATAGCAACGTGCAATTTCCACCACGAGCTCAGTGCATTTAGCAGTCTTACCCCAATCTCATTCAAGCATGGGGACACTTTAGACTGTTAAACTCGCACACAAATATCTCCTTCTGCTCGTTAATAATGGCCCGTAACTGTGACCAATACTGTGTGTTGTGAACATCATGACATGAGAACACTATCATGGTCAATCCACCGGTGGATGAAGGCCTCTCCATACCACCACCATCTCCCTAATTCCTACGATGTCATAATTCATTGCTCCATCTCCCAGGTGGGCATTCTCTCAAACCCATTCCCACTCCATCATTATTCCTGACCATCATCCCTTGTCATATAATGCGTCCTTCCAGAGCGCACTTATTTTAATACGTTATAACTATATCTTTGTGTCCCCTAATATGTGTTCCTCTTTCTTTCTCGCTCTGTAACTTCCACTTTTAATTTGGTTAAACACTGCTGCAGTGTTACCAAGTTATGACCACTAAAAAAATAAAGCTTTACCACCAATCACTTTAACTTTTAACAGTGCTCCGTTGGGACAAAGGTGACAATACTTAACTCATAGCCCCATAAAAGCGGGTGGTATCTAAGGTCAAAGTTCAATAGGAGTCCAATGTCAATCAATTAATAACCTGAAATAAAGCATGTAAGAATTAACATGAGGCTTTTGCACCAATAGCTTTAAGGCGAACAAAAAAATAAACAATTCATACAATGGAGATAACGTCAAATTCAGAGTCTATATTCACAAGAGTGATGGGGCAGTGCTCTTCTGGCACGGGCAGCCCTGAGCCATGGTGGAAATTCCACATTTCCATGTTGGGGGCACAGTGTGTCCATAAAATGACCACTGATGACTTAAAGTGCCACTTACCAATTGGCTAAGTTGACAACCCCTCACCAGGATTTGAACTCGCAACTTCTTGACTGTTAGTTATTTTTGTTACCACAACAAAATACATCCATAATAAAGAAATAAATTGACACTTTAAATATCTGCTTACAGGCCCTGTAGTGGAGGCCCATCCTATAGCAGTGGCGTGAACAAGTAATTGCGGGGCTGCACCTTTACCTTTTCTGTTTTGACGATTGTTCACCGCTGTTGGTTGATGATGAATGATAAACGATTACCACGATGACGATAAACTCCTCATTCGAGGCACCAAAGGTCGCACCTCACGGTTGGCTATGTATGGTGCGAAATCAGTTCAACATACATAACATACATGCTGCATACATGTCAACCCCTTTGCAGTGCCTACATTATCACAGACCAATTCAGACCTTATTGGTCACCCCGTGCCCTGATACATCCCAACGTTCATCCTACAAAGTCCCGTCACAAGACAGAAACACAAACAAAGACACTTTTTTTGCCCGTATTGAAACGGCTGTACGGAGTCTATGAACCTGCAAACTCAATTTCCCTGTACAACAATACGGGTAACCCGTATGGATTGACACGGTATTATACTGGCTCCGACATTCCTCTATGACACTGGTGGAAATAACCATCAACAGCACACACATCTCCTTCACGAATGGAACATTTGAGGACAAGCCCACGGGGGAGTGCGCCTGCGGTCATGCAACATCAAGCTCCGTACCACAACAATGAACCAGCGTGGCCCTTTCACCGAATCATTGGTAAAACTACACAAAGATATCTCCCTCTTGAAGAAACCCATCACGCGGCTAGCGGATCTCGACACGGGCATTCAGGCTCCTGAAACGCGTTGCCATCCGTCGTAGACAAGGCAAACACGGCAATGACATATACTTAGACCTCAGCAAAACGCACGTTTGATACACCCACCATCCCTTCAACTGCTCTCAACCCGATTTAAAGCTTTCGTGACTGCAGGGATTCATCTTCTTAGTTCTTTCTGACAGACCTGTTCTTCACCTGAGGATGGCTGCTTGCGTTGTGGCCGAAACGTCTTGAGAATAATTTTATTATGTTTTATTTTTATTATTTTATTACTTCCCTTCTACGTGACTTTACCGAAAGAACCAAGAAGATGCTCTCAACCCCGTTAGAACACGACGAGTAGTCACACAGCAGTTGGCGAGCGAGCACAAGGGAATACTTTAGCTGAGCAAATTTCTCACCTGGGGTGTCCTGCATGGGACGGGCTTGACGAGTGCACTCAGCAATCCCACGTCGGCACGGTGCGCCATTCTCCCACTTTGCTTGGAAACAAATGTGAGAATTCCTCTTTAACGTCCTCGAGTTTTTAAATCTTGAAGTCGGGAGTCTTTATCCCCCCCCACCACCACCACCCCCTAACTCTCTCTCAATCTCTGACTCGTTTCCCGTGGCTCACATTCATTTTTTTTATTCCAGCAGCAGCCAATCAGAAAAGAGAGCTTTCGGAGCCTCGTTTAAGAATGACCGGGACACGCAGCTTGCTGATTAATCCTGGCGGTGTTCGTTCGGCGACTCTCCCTACAAGTTGAAGCAAAGTGTAGTCCAGTTGAAAAGTTGTCTTCTTTCTTGGCACCTCTTGAACATAGCAAAGTACTGCATCTAGTCTTCTGTTTAACGAATCAATCCTAATTCATTTAGTTACACGCACTGAGTGTGTATAGGCTACGCACGAATATGTTCATGAAAATAGCAAGAAAATAAAATAAATGTATCAACCTGTACAAAGCTATAAACACAACAGCAGAATAGTTAGGAGGATGCACGTATAATCACGTATGGGTCAGGAAGCAAACACCCTTACTAACAGGAAGCTGCTTGGTAGGAATAAACCGCAGATGGCTTCTTCAGTTGCTTTAGGGGTTTGTTTTATATTTAGTTTGCTAAACAAAACGAGTTTCCGCGAGGGAGCCGAGTCTTTTTTGTGTTAAGCCGTCTGCCTCCGCTTGGCAGTGTTGAAAACGGACACGCCGTGCAAGAGAGTCAAGAAAAAAACCCAGAGAATTTAAATGAGAAAACTTTGGCTCTCTCCTCTCTCTCTCGCTCTCCCGTCCCTCCCCCACACATGCTCACCCAACCAGCGAGACTGGAATTCATTTGATAGCCACGGGAACACACCCACACAACGCTGAGCCAGTACACACACACACACAGATAAAGGGGCTGTAAGGCTGGCAAAGGGGCTTTTCCAATTGCCTCCTTTAAATAACAAAGTGCCACAACGTCCGCAGCGAATGGCTGGACCGTTCAAGGTGGACTTTGTCGACACTACTACACGTTGACACACACCGGCACCCATGGCTCGTACAGGTCGTACACGTACCCACGCACAATCACGCACAGTCATTGCACAATAAATGTCAATGTCGTTTCATCTGACAGATAATTGGCACAGCCAGCCATATCGCTTTAAGGGAAGTGTTGAGAATTGAAATACAGGTTAGGTTATATTTATTCTATTTACTACGGTTATATTTAAAAATGTGTCGTGTTGATATATTGGTTTGTAATGGCTTGCTTGCCATGTTACGACACACTATAGAATTGGGAATTATTATTTTTGTATTACTCTGTCCTGTTTACTTTTGAGTTGAATCGTGTGTGGTCTGGCATAATGTCCGACGTTTTTCTACACGCGCTGGATTGCTTCTTCAGGAATTTAGTAACTGAGGAAGGTCCCAGCACATGGAGAGAAACGTCAGACAGCGTGCCAAACAAATCACGTCGGGACGCGACACAACACAACCGCGAAAACCTCAGCAGTAATTATACGAGTGGTATTAAATAATCTACTGTACTTCAATCAAGTCATTGGATCAAAGCCAAATGCAAAATAATGAATATGAAATTGGCCAAACATCCGAATATAACCATCCTGAATACAGATTGTATTAAATAAGGGATCATTATTAATAATCATCAGCCATGGTCCATCCATTGCTGGATGAAGGATTCCCCAAAACCGCCACCAATTAAAAAAAACGATTCAAAGCTTTTAAGTCCCTATGCTTAAACACGATCTTCGTTGGAGACCCTGAGTCAATTCCACATTGCTATGCCAGGGGGCAGGCCGTCCATCATCCCATGGTGGTGGCGCACACTGGAGGCAAGCATTGGTAGATCACACACATCTTGGGAATTCCCTTTCCGTGTGCGGGGAGGTACCACACCGTGGCTTAGCAGGAGCATTCGATAGAGCAAGTGTAGACGAATCTCCATCTGTCCCAGTTGCATAGATGCTCCCTCACATGCGTGAGTTTTCTCCGGGCGCTCCAATTTCCTCCCACATGTATATGATACTCATTGTTTGAAAAGGGCTTAATATAAAAACACGCAATGCAGGACTCATCTGAAAAAGAGTCATTGGACTCAGTATGGTTTCCTGGGTATATGAGTTATTATGAAACTTTCCTTCACCTAAAAACCATGTTCTTCTGCGATTTAAATTCAATGTCAAGTCATTTGGTGTCACACTGCCACAGCGCGGCACAAAATGAGTATTGCATTATCTGTTTATTTCTCAGAGCGATTGACATCCCTTTGTCAATCCACTGCTGGATGAAGGCCCGCCCACTCTGTGTTGGCCGTGGGTGTTGTTAGACCATACTTCACCACGCTGCTCTGTATGGGTTAGTGGAGGAGTGGGGGTTGTCTATGGCTAGGACCAGTGGCGAAATATCACTCGCCACTGATACCAGCCGTGGCCTGGAATAAAACTCAGCTCGTTGGCTCTAAAGTGCAGCGCAGAACCACTGCGCCACGACTCCAGGCCAAATCTCGCAGTAAAAACTTTTTTAATATTCAGCCATTCTCAATACGGTGCTTGATATGAGCGGTTCTAAGCCACCTTGTACAATGAGCGTCCTATGGAAAGCCACGTGCATTGATATGTGTTTGCTTCATATTCGCTGTGGTGGCCCATCCCATAATTCCCATGGTGATCTTCTTGGTTCTTTCGGTAAAGTCACGTAGAAGGGAAGTAATAAAATAATAAAAATAAAACATAATAAAACAATTCTCACGACGTTTCGGCCACAACGCAAGCAGCCGTCCTCAGGTGAAAAACAGGTCCGTCGAGGCGACAGAGTCTGAATGAAACAGCACACGAGCTTGGAGCATATATATAAGCTGGGCGCATTGACAAAGGAATTTGCATATCAAAAGGAATTTAGCATATTTGATATGCAAATTCCTTTGTCAATGCGCCCAGCTTATATATATGCTCCAAGCTCGTGTGCTGTTTCATTCAGACTCTGTCGCCTCGACGGACCTGGTTTTCACCTGAGGACGGCTGCTTGCGTTGTGGCCGAAACGTCGTGAGAATTGTTTTATTATGTTTTATTTTTATTATTTTATTACTTCCCTTCTACGTGACTTTACCGAAAGAACCAAGAAGATGAATCCCTGCAGTCACGAAAGCTTTAAATCGAAAAATCCCATGGTGATGTCACGGCCCCATATGGAGCAATTGATTTTCCAATTAAATAGCAATAAAAATGTGATTGTGTTAATGGCATTTTTGTAAATCTCTGAAACAGACATCTAAATTAACTAAAGTCTTCCGCAAATCACGTGACAACGTGTGGCCACCCCCACTCTGAATCCTCTCCTCGTCCCCCACCACCCCCCGCCCCCTGTGAAAACAGACGCCGCTCCGTGCAGCTCACATCGTCTCGGCTCATTCCTCCTCTTTCCTTCTTGCTGCTCATCTTGAGCCGTGCCCTCCTCTCTGTCCGTCTTTGAGACGTTCCATCCCGCCATCCATTTCATTTCCCTTCTCTTTTTTTATCTCCCCATAAATAATGTCATTGACTCTACTCCCCTCCCCGTGGTGTACCACGGGTAAAAAAAACATCGTCGCTTATTACCCGTTTAATTTTTTTCTTTCCATGAATAATATCATTGCCTATTCTCCCCTCCTCGTGGTGTTACCACGGGTAAAAGTATTACATAGCTAAATTCCTGTTAAGATAAATGTACAGGTAAAAATGCAGCCTTGCAATTTCTTGCGCACGAGACTGTTGGCAGAAGGGCCTCCACTCGAGAGCTCGAGAGAGCGCCCCTATAGAGGGTTCTTTGGCCTACTCTTCCATGCTGGTCAGACGTATTTGGACGGAAGGTGTTGGAGGACTCCGCACTTTGGGGCCGTCCATAAATGACGTCACGCGATTTTGGACGATTTTGACCCCCTTCCTCGTGATCACACGGCGTCACAAAAAATCAACCCCTCCCCCCTCAAATATGACGTTACAATGCTCTGCCCCCCCCCCCCCAAAAAAAAAACATGCTTCAAATCGCTTTAAACTATTGTCATTGTAGTGCGTATTTAATGTGGCGCTGCACTGTTTTAAGAGAAAACATTTATTAAAAAGTATATTTAATTAAGTAGAACGTGTTGTCTATATTTATTTAAAGTTGCGCATTTTGATGTGACGTCACATTTCTCTAACCCCCCCCCCTCGTCACACATCGTCACAAATGTCTGACCTCCCCCCCACCCTAGGTGCGTGACGTCATTTATGGACGGCCCCTTTACCCCACCAAACGCGACTTGCCCATTGAACGTGTTGCGCCTGTTTAAACTGATGGGTGGACAGGTGGCGAGGATTTGACCAACAAACCTGTACATTGTTTTAACTACCACGCCGGAGAGAGTCTGGCTTGCAAGTCGTCTAGTTTGCTCACCATTAACATCCACTGCAGCAACCCTAGATGCATCTAGAACAGGGGTGGGGACGTCCGGCCCGCGGGCCGTATGAGGCCCACGAAATCATTTGGTGTGGCCCTGCCAAGGCAACCGCAGGCGGGACTCGAAATTCAATAAATCTAGGAGCAAACCTGGAAAAGCAGTTGCGAGTAGCAGCAACATCATCAATACCAGTTAACATCACACGCCTCGCCAAAGAGAAGCAGTTCCAGCCATCGCAATCATTGAAGACTTGGTTCATCAAGGACTGAATGCTGGGGTACCCCCCCTGGTGAGACACTGCTTAACCAATACATACTTCACCTGGAATGGAACCTTCTACAAGCAAATTGAGGGCACCCCAATGGGCTCCCCCCTATCTCCGGTTGTAGCCAACATCTTCATGGAGAAATTTGAGACGGACGCCATCCAGACTGCCACTCTACGCCCGACCTTATGGAAGAGGTACGTAGACGACACTTTTGTCATCTGGCCACATGGCCGGCCTGCTCTAGACCAATTTCTCGACCACATCAATTCCATACACCCAGCCATCAGATTCACCATGGAAGTCGAAAATGATGGCAAGCTACCCTTTTTGGATGTCCTAATCAAAAGGAGACCTGATGGTTCAATGAGCCACTCTGTCTACAGGAAAGCCACCCACACGGATGCTTATCTAAAACCGGATTCCCACCACCATCCATCCCAGAAGAATTCCCTCATCAAGACTCTATATCATAGAGCCCAATGCATCTCCGACCAGGAACACATTGCCAGTGAACTCAAACACGTACGCCAAGCTCTTAAGGCTAATGGTTACTCCGACTACACAATCCGCAAAGCCATCACTCCAACCATCAAGAAGGATCCTGTTGAGGAACCTTTCAAGACCATCACCTTACCCTACATTGTTGGGGTCACAAAAAAGATCTCCAAAATCCTGATTAAACACAAGATCCAGGTCCGATTCAACACAGTACATAAAATCCGTGATCTGGTACCGTCTGTAAAAGATGTGGTTCCAGACATACAGTACCCTGGCGTCTACAAACTAAGTTGCCTCTGTGGTAGCAGTTACATTGGGGAAACCAAGCGACATGTCTCAGACCGCATCCGTGAACATAAAGCTGACCTGAAACACGGTAGGACAAACACCTCAGCCGTGGCAGATCACTGTTACAACTCAGTGGGCTCACATGATATTGACTTCTCCAAGACAGAGGTTCTCTGCAAGCCATCTGGCTATCATGAGAGATTCGTTCATGAGGCGATCCACATATACAAACACAGAGACAATTTTAACCGAGAAGATGGATCCTGGCTTAGCAATCATTGGAAGGACGTAATAAACCATTTCGACACACATTAGGGTGGGTAGAATAATACATAGTGTTATATTAAATGTATAAGGTATAGGTTGGTTTACAGCAATACAGTATATAATTTAATACTTGCTGTTAGTAACTCAGCTTAGTGTAGAGTATAGTAAGTATACTGATGGTGCTATGCAATTTATACTTTAGTTTTTTATGTAGTTTATACTTTAGTTTTCTACGTGGTTGTTGAGTAACTGCAGCTACATATCATTAACATTCCTTTCCTCTGTTACTGCTAATCCCTGCACCCCACCTTGGTGCTGTTGATCCTGCATAATGCATGGGCATAATATGACTTTGAAACCCCCCCGCCCACCTCCTACGCATTTCCCATGAATATGCTAAATTCCTCTTCATATGCACATTCTTTTGTTAAGGCGCTCTCTCTTCCACCTCCAACGCAGCTTATATATAAGCTCCTAGCTTGGCATTGTCTCATTCTTCACCTGAGGACGGCTGCTTGCGTTGTGGCCGAAACGTCGTGAGAATTGTTTTATTATGTTTTATTTTTATTATTTTATTACTTCCCTTCTACGTGACTTTACCGAAAGAACCAAGAAGATGAATCCCTGCAGTCACGAAAGCTTTAAATCGAAATTTAAGGGGTGAGTTAATTAAATGTTTGACCAAATATAACAGGCAAGTTTGATAATTTTGTATGGCCCGCGAATGATGTTTCTCAGTCCCTCCAGAAAAACGCGGAGTTTTTTGGTGATTGTTGCGGGCAAAAATCGTTGATGTTGCGGCACGTTTTCCTAAAAAATGCGATGGAATATGCGGGATATTTATGCAATTTTATGCGATTAAATTGCGGAAACTTGCAAAAATTGCGGGAACTTGCAAAAACTGCGGTTTGATGAAAAAGAGAAAAAAAGTGATTCCCCCAACACCCTATTCACTCGGCTACTACTTTAATGTAAAGAGTCATTTCTTATTACTTCCTATGATAAGCAAGCATACTACATCACAGAAAGTGCTGGGAATATTTAAGTTCTCATCTTGTTTTATTTCAGACCTTAACAAACAGATGGCTCAAACTTACAAAACATTGAGTCGAACAAGTTCTGTAGCTTTACAAAATGAATATGCTACAACTTCTGTAAAAATGAATAAATAAAATATAAAAAAATAAAATGTGTGCTTCCTGTTTTACAGAGGTAGCTATACAAAACAGACATCTCCTGTTAAAATAAGTGTTTTCAGTGCACAGTAACGTAAGCAATACAGTAACAGTACAGTCTTACAGTAATGTAAATTTACATACTACTAACAAAAAAGTGCAATCTTACAACTGTAAAGTTTCATAAACTCCTGAATAAAACTAACTACGTAGCCTCTAACACTTCATAACGTTCCCATGGCAACAGGGGAAATGGCTGCGCTTGTGTGAAGTAAACGCAACATTTTTCAACTTTCTGCTAAGATAAATGTGACTTTTTGCAACGAAAATGCGGGGATTATGAAATCATGCAGGCCCGCATATTTTGCGCGCGGAAATCTGCAATTTATGCGGCGAAAGTGCGGCGTATTTGAAAAAACGCGCCCCCCGCATAAATATGCGGACTTTGGCTGATTTTGCGTGGAATCTTGCGATCGCATAATCGCGTTTTTCTGGAGGGACTGGTTTCTAAAGTATACTCCCATCGTATACGTGAAACCACTGTTGGATGAGGGTCTCCACGCGGGTCACGGGGATTGTTCGGTGACCATACTTCACCAAGCTGGGCACCTATCAGCTATCGTGCTGTGACGGTTCCACCTGAAGACGGAAGCTTGTGTTGCCTCCGAAACGTCGTGATTTTTATTTTATTTTACTTTTATTCATTTTCATTTTTTTACCTACGTGACTTTACCGAAAAAACCTAAGAATATGTACCAAAAAAATCAACACATTCTGCAATTAGCATTGCCTTTAAAGGGAACGTGTGTGATAGGCGACGTTTCGGGAAATGTCCCTTCTTCAGAGCACACGCTAGAAATACGTGCTTCAGACGGAAAACATACGATTGAGACGAATGTGTCGAGTTTTTGTTGTTGTTAGTTCTTGTGCACCACTTTCATGCGCGGAATCGCAAGATAATAATTAGTTGCCATTATGGAGAGCCATCGCCCGAAACGTCGGACCCCGCCTCTACTTCCGCCTCTTGCCACGCGGACCACTTATGAAGAGGCTCTGTTACAGTGGGAGGGGCCTCTGTTACAGTGGGAGGGGCCTCTGCCACAGTGAGAGGGGCCTCTGCCACAGTGGGAGGGGCCTCTGCTACAGTGGGAGGGGCTTCTGCCACAGTGGGAGGGGCCTCTGCCACAGTGGGAGGGGCCTCTGCCACAGTGGGAGGGGCCTCTGCTACAGTGGGAGGGGCCTCTGCCACAGTGGGAGGGGCCTCTGCCACAGTGGGAGGGGCCTCTGCCACAGTGGGAGGGGCCTCTGCCACAGTGGGAGGGGCTTCTGCCACAGTGGGAGGGGCCTCTGCCACAGTGGGAGGGGCCTCTGCCACAGTGGGAGGGGCCTCTGCCACAGTGGGAGGGGCCTCTGCCACAGTGGGAGGGGCTTCTGCCACAGCGGGAGGGGCCTCTGCCACAGTGGGAGGGGCCTCTGCCACAGTGGGAGGGGCCTCTGCCACAGTGGGAGGGGCCTCTGCTACAGTGGGAGGGGCCTCTGCCACAGTGGGAGGGGCCTCTGCCACAGTGGGAGGGGCCTCTGCCACAGTGGGAGGGGCCTCTGCCACAGTGGGAGGGGCTTCTGCCACAGTGGGAGGGGCCTCTGCCACAGTGGGAGGGGCCTCTGCCACAGTGGGAGGGGCCTCTGCCACAGTGGGAGGGGCCTCTGCCACAGTGGGAGGGGCCTCTGTTACAGTGGGAGGGGCCTCTGTTACAGTGGGAGGGGCCTCTGCTACAGTGGGAGGGGCCTCTGTTGCAGTGGGAGGGGCTTCTGCCGCAGTGGGCGGAGCCTCTGTCACAGTGGGCGGAGCCTCTGTCACAGTGGGCGGAGCCTTTGTCACAGTGGGCGGAGCTTACACAAAAGTAGGCGGGGCTTACTCATAGCCACGCTCCTCCCCCCGTGTCGCTTCTCAGTGGGAGGAGGAAGAGCGGTGGGGCTCCGCCACCCGGACTCTCGCTCATCTCGGCCTCTCGTGTCCTCCGCCACGCCTCGGGTCCTTCCCCTATGGCCACGGCACAGCGATGGGCGCGTGCTGGTCATGGTGTGTGGCCGCGCTGAGGCCGGGCGGTGCGGCAGGGAGACCCAGGCTCTCTCGGGCAGGAGGAGGAGGGTACGTGCCCTCACTGGGTTCTGTCTCCATATGCCCGCCGATTGATGTTGGCTTTCTCTTCCGTATTTCCTCATTCATTCATGATTCATTCTCCTTCCAAACGGACTGTCGCTCCGACCGAGTCGTTCGTCGCGGTTGGTTGACGTTGTTGACGTGGCCGCGTTTGGCACATTGTAAGTTGGTGAGAGTTTAATTGTTATAATTGACACGTGAACCGAGGCTCCATTCCGTGCGTTGATTGGTGCTGTGTGGGGTGGTCCCGTCCGTGTTTTGCGAACCGCCCCGCTGTATTACAGCCGGTTATTCAGTCCTGTATCGTAACAACAATCAAGGGTTGTGTTTGTTTTATGCAATTGTTTCGGCCAGTGTGCATTTGTATAACTAATACAATGTTTAATTAGCGCTGTGGATAATTGTGTTTAGAATAGTAGTTATGTAATATTATAGTAACAGCCTATTGTGAAATCTGTTTGGTGAGACCGGAAAGCCGGGTCTGAGTTCCGAGTGTTACGGAATGGAGCGTTCGAGGCAGTTGTTTTTAAATCAGCAAAATTAAGATTTAATTCAGCCATTCATGACTACTCGTGAATTTATGATAATTGTTTTATTTTTTTATCGTATTCCTTACAAGTATACATCCATTGCAGGACATCTGCCTCCACCACGTGGTACGAGCCATGGGAGATTATTTGACCATACTTTACCGCTGCATTTGCAAGTCGGTAAAATCGTGCATTTACAAGCCAGTGAATGAATGATGTATCCACATCGTGATTCATTGAGACGTGCTTCGTGATATCAGGGATTATGCATCATGTGCTCTTCTCTCCACGTTATTCCCGAAGCCTATATGACAGAGGTGTGGACTCGAGTCATGTGACTTGGACTCGAGTCAGACTCGAGTCATGAATTTGATGACTTCAGACTCGACTTGGACTTGCATAACAATGACTTTGTCCCACCTCTGCTATATGACCTGTTATGCATGGTGGTACCCAGCAAAACATGCCATGTCGGGGCAGTGTTGGAATGTGGTTGGGGCCAATATTGACCCAGCGTTCCATGTTTACTGGGCTATCCAGGCTCACACATGCTTGGCTTTCGAGATCTGACGAGCTGTACAGCATGCAGGTGTGTATGCATAGGATGCCTATTGTGTTTGCCTACTGTATTAGCATCAAATATTAACCGTCTCTTGTCATACATTGTCTCAGCAATGTGTACAATCTGTCCAATATGTATTGTACATATTAGTCCTCATCTCTGTGTATTTTAGGTGCAGTACAATATTTTGCGTCTGTGTATGATGTAGCAAGGTACGTGAGTGGTATCATCATCATCATCAGCTCTGATCTATCAACTGCTGGCTTCCCCAAGTGGTTACCACTTCTCACGGTCACGCGAGCTGATTTCATAATTCCATCTCCTCAGTTGACGTCCTCTGGGTGGCATCACTCGGGTGTTAGTCCGAACCATCAGCCATCATCCCATTTGAGAAAAAACCTTGCCACTATTCCCACTTTCTTAGCAGTCCATGTCATGTCTCTTACTTGATCTCGAATCCCTCTTACCGTATTTCATTGTAATTTCAAGCATTCACACATTTCAGCGTTTGTTCAACGTTGGTTGGTCAATGGAAACCACTCATTGCACATTAGCATGTGGATGGATAAATGAAGGAATTCTTAAAGTAATTAATGAAACCTGTACGGTGACGTGAATATCATGGTCAGATGTCCTCATGTAAATGAGTAAACAAAATTAATTAATTGACTTTAATATATGGGCGCCATGGTGGCAAGATGTTAACTACCTCGCCTGATATACAGGAGGTCGTGGGTTCGATCCCGACCCTAACGATGCCTATATATTTGGAGTTTGTGTGCTCTCCCCATGGTAGCGTGGATTTTGCTCCAGGTTCTCCGGTTTTTTCCCTCAACATTTACAAACGTGTTTCTAAATATTATTTTACACGCTTTATATTAACTCACTCTGTTGTTGTATCCTCAAATCTTGTAACTCAATTTTAACCCACTTCCCAACGTGGTATCGACTGCAAACTTGGTATACTTATGTCATACTGATGACAATACTATATTATATCATTAAAAATAATATATATATTTTTAAACATTATTTTTTATATATCATGTTTCGGTTTGGGTCTAATTGTCCACGCTCAACTAACGTTGGCTGTAAATCACCACGGTCCCTTACGTTATGGCAAGGTTCGGGGCCACTTCCTGGAGTTCTTCCATTACTAGAACGGTACATTTAATTAAAGCTTGTTTTAAAAAAAGTTTTTTAAAATATTACTTATTTTCATTACGTTAGACCACGGCTAAGAAGGGTTGAGCCGGGTTAGTACTTCTGTAATAGTACTCTTGGAGACGGCTTGTGGAATCGGTCCTTTTATTTACTTATTTCAGTTCACAAGTACTCCCCGTTGCTGGCAGGAAACGGGAAGTGGGCAGACAGATCGCAAGAGACGCACCGCCACGTGGCACTCAGAGCCCCACTCGCGCGCGGCCCCACTCTTTCTTCCTCGTCTGACCCCCGTGTCCCTCGGCTATTCCCTTATTTAATGCCTGGGTCACGTGGTACGCTCCAGCCAATCCTTAATAGCCTGCGCTGAATGTTCCAGATTCCCCATCAACTCCCGGGACCACGCCCCTGACTTGTCTTCCCATTGGCTGAGGCCAAGACCAGCAGAACCAATCATCCTAGCTGACATCCCTCGATCACACCAGGGCCATGCTCCCAGGCTCTCCCCCCATTGGCTGTAGAGCAGGACCGGCAGAGCCGATCACCACGTGAGCCGGACATAGGCTCTCATTACACTTCGATTGCAGACTGCCTGTTGATGTTGGCTGTGAGGTGGCCAGCACATGGCAGTAGAACAATTATTGAATCCATCTGCAGAGCTTTGATAGTTACCCCCCTCGTATGCGTGAGGTTTTCCCCAGTTACTCCGATTTCCTCCCACATGCCAAACCCTCATTATGGGAATTGTCCAAACATTCCAGTGTAACAGGAATTCTTAAAAGATCTTGAAACTCAGTGAAGCCATCATCATGAGCAAGAAGAGGGCATGATTAGTTCGATTTCGCTCATTCTGAATGAGCTTATGCTTCAAACCAAACACCTCCAATGTATAGCATCTGACCAGACCTTGGGATCTATGCAGGCTTGAGCCTAAATAGTTCTTGCATGGTCGACCATCCTGCAGGTTGGTATCGGTGCCTGTGAGGCTACGTGGTGGTCATCAGATGGGCAGTGCAACAAAACACGATGTTGTACTGTACTCATTTCCTCACATCTATACGTGAAGTATGGGTCAAATGACTCCCTCACTCAACTACCCCTCACGGCCCTCATTCAGCAGTGGGAAAATAGCATTTGCAAGTCGGTGAATGAATGAGGTATCGTTGGCATGGGCTTTGTGATGTCGCGGATATGAATCCTGTAGTAACATTGGCCAGTGTTGTTTGTACAGGTTAACAGCGGGCTTCATTCATGCAGTCAGCTCTCTTTTAATATCCCCTGTGAGCAGGGCAGATAGACTGCACGACAAAGGCGCTCTGGTCTCTCTACGGGCTCATACCTACTCATAAATCATTGATGCCCCACAGTAGTGGCAGAGCACGTCTGTAAGCGTAGCACTGTACAAGTGAGGAAGAGCCAGTCTCATTACCAACAAATATTGAATTCCATTAAAACCCAGCTGGTAGGCACAGCCCAAGCTCCCATTATACTGAATATATATAAAAAGCAAAGTTGTGATTATGTGTGTCTGTTCAACATGTTTAGCGTACTTCCCGACATGCAACAAACTTGAAATTTGCCATGTGGGTACTTTCCAGACTGTACACCATGCAAAAATTATTAAGATACACTTAATTTTTTTTGTGGGGTGAGAGCTCAATAATGCATATATTTTTTGCACGGCAAGTGACCTGTGACGTCAAATCTGTCACGTGACCCGCGCATGTGGAAGCGTAACGCATTGTAGTGTAGTGGTTAGCGCTATGCCGCGCTCTGAACCTGGCGACCCGAGTTCGATTCCAGCTCACGGCCACCACCGGTGACGATTATTTGAACCGGTCCTGGGCCTCCCCTAGGTCGACTCAGCCTCAAACGAGTAACTGGTCTGCTGTGTGAACATCGCTACTGGGGGGACAAAGGCTGCCGGGCGTGGTGAATCCCAGTCCCGGGCAAAGCCGGGTAGTAAAGCTAGTACTGAATAATGGAGCGCAGACGAAAAAATACTCAAGTAGAAAATATTCAGATCAATGTCAGAACAGAGTTTGCATTCTCTCAAAAACAGCTTACTTAATAGGACGACTGTGTAGGTTGTTGTCGTTGTTCTGTACGGCTCTCTGGTGCCTTTTCAGGTTGTACCTCGTGTTGCCCGGCACTTTGGCTGATGCGCCACACCACGTGCTGGGAGATTCTTGGGGAACTGAATCAAAATTCAGGAACTAAATCCAAACTTCAGGAACTGAATAACAATTCCGTTCTTGAAGAAGCTCCGAGCACGTGGAGCGAAACGTGAAAGCTACACGGGACTATCGTGAAAATCTACGCAGTCGCGTGTGTGATGTGTTGATCCAACAATTTTAAAAAGTAGCATTGTATGCCGTGTCATTGTTTATTGATTTGAAGTGACATATTTCAGTGATTATGAAGAGATTAAAAAAAAAACATATTATTAAATGGTCACATGGTGCAGAATTTCGGAACAGATTTAAGGAAGGATCGTTTTGATGGTGGCTTACGCTTGGTGATGTCAATTCACGTGGCCGCCGAACTTGGCATGCTTTGTCTGCCTCCTCATGTTTACCAATTTGGTATACAGTAATCCCTCGCCACTTTGCGGTTCAAGTTTCGCGGCCTCAGTGCATCGCGGATTTTTCGAGCTGATTTAAAGGCCTCATTATACCTGTGCAGTAACACCATCATCATTCATCATCACATTCATCGAACTGCACAGGTCTGTC